ATGTGCATAGATAAATTCTAATATAGCCTTGGTCCGACTTGAAACTTGCAGTATCTAGATAAAGGGTCAGTAGGTATAACTTTACACTTTCAAGGTGTATTTTGAGTTCCAATACATTAATGAGGTCAGTTCAACAGGTTCAAATTCCGGTAACTGCCTTATGAGGGTAGTTCATAGTAAATAAGTGTGATGCATGGTTGTCATACAAACAGTGTTTTAACATGTAGTGCATACATCATATGAAACCAATATATAACGTGGTCATGGCAACCACCACCCTTTAATGCAACAAATCACATTAATTAAATTGCATAATACGTTGCATTTCCAGCATCTCGAGAGTATGATTCACATATTGATGAATTTAATGAAGTTGGTTTCACTGCATTACCGAGTAAATATGGAATAGCTCCAATCGTCAAAGAATCACCGTTATCTCTAGAATGTTCTCTCTATTCAAGCATGGATATTGGAAAACCAAAATATGGAGGGTCTACAATTATAGTTGGTAAGGTAGGTACGAGTTGAATTGACCTTATTTGCAGCTATGGTATTTGTCAGAAATACTTTTGATATTTGTATCAAGTGTGCCAATTAATACCACCATAAAATTTGTATTATAAGCTGCATTCATAATAGAAGTCTCGCCCATTCATTTAAAAAAATTAAGCAATCACAATTCTCATATGTGTGTTTACTCTAATAGAAACCGCAACCCCCTTTGTTGCATTGTATCATTTTAATAGAAATCGCTGTTTCAAATACAGATTTTACAGTATATGTTCATTTCAAATATTGGCCGCCATTCCAGTATGGCTCTCATTACATAATTTAAGAATTGATGTGAGATTACTGGTGAATTTGGTTAATTAATTTACACATTAAATATTGAATAGTTTCTTGCAAATTGCTGTTTAAAATTAAAATCTGTATTTTGTATCTGTACTGCAGTATATACATAAGAATCAAATCACCATAAACCGTTGTTATCGGTACATTATGTTAATAGAACTATCAAAGCATCATTTAGCATTTGGTGTATGATATTTGATGAAAATGAGTGAAATTTGCAAAAATAATTTCATTAACAATGCACACTAATGTACTATAAAGTGACTAGCACATACTAGCAAAGGTTGCAGAATGTCTTGATATCTTCACAAGATGTACTCCACAAGTTGCAAACTTTTATTATAATTATGTTACATACATTACATTACATATACCAGTATTAAAAAAAAATCATTTTCATGGATTTTGCAAAATGTTATAGCAGTGGAAATTGAAATAGTTTTCTTTCAAATGATGCATTACAGTATTTGTTCAGTTTGAAGCATGTGTCCTGAGATGGTAAAGTTCTCACACAACAAATTAACTCCCTATTGATGCTTTAAATCTTGGAAAGCAAAACTTTTAAAATAATTTATTTGTTATTGGCTGTTTTTAAATTCTGAAGAACATATCTACATAAATAAATATTTTATAAAAATTATAAATTTCAATGACAATCGAATCTAACCAGCCAGTCAATGAGAATTGTGCACATCGTCATTCGAAAATGTTTTAATGTTATTCAATTAGCCAATAGAAAACTAATCTGATTGAAATAAGATCCTAGGTGGCTTAATTTAAAAAAAAAATTAAGCCAACTAGGATTGTATTTTAATCTGATAGAAACCTTTTGTTTCAAATCTATAAATATTTATAATGATGAAGAGAATGCCTTTGTTTCACAATTTTCATCTACAAAATGGCTGCCAATGTACGGTTACACACTTGGAACAAGTCATTGTTTCCATAGAAACAAGTTTGAGTATCTCTTATTCATACTTTGTTTTTGTCATTTGATAGATTTTTTCACTTATTACAATGCGAATTTATAGTTCTTTAAAATTTTTTACATTTTTTCTAGTATGAAGTGTGTAGCTGTGTCCATCCTTTACAAATGTATTTCAAAAAAAGTGTGAATACATTATGCTAATAAATCCCTGTCACATGTTTGTACTCGCCACTAAATGAGTTTGTTTTACATTACAGATTGTATGCTTACACATCAATGAAACTAGCTGGAAAGACAACCAAATTATACCAGAAACTCTACAGTCAGTCTCAAGGCTTGGTTCTATGAATTACGGCAGTGGTGACATCAAATTTAGTATCATTGATGACACTGTGTGGAGTAAAAAACATTGGTAGTTCTGAATTGATGGGCATCAGGACTCCAGTTTTTTTGGTGCAGAAGCTCAGCTTTATGAATAAATGTTATTATCCAATTATCTTTCTTGTTGGTTTTATCCACTGTTTCAATGAACTATGCAACATGACAAAGGCAGAGAATAACTATTTAAGAGACAAAACTAAATTGTGTGTATATTCTCTCGCTCTCAACGAGATCTATTGTGATAGCAGAGTATAGACAACAATTGATACTGCAATAATGTGTTACATAAATCGGTCTGTGTTGTCTCCTATCATGTATCAGAACACTGGATATGTGATGTTCCTGTATTAAATTTCTAAAATTATATCACTAATTCATATATATGTTGATGTATACATTGTAATTTAGGCCTGTCACTTAGTGTGTGACAATGTGAGGCCATTCAGAGTTTCTGCAATGAAATTTACATACAAGTTGTAAAACCAATTATATTATTTATCAATTTTAAGTGGTATTATAATTTGATGATTTGGATCATATTCCCTGGGAGTTCACCATTTTTCAGTACAACACTATGGATAGGTGATATTGTTATTTTACAAGTTTTTGTGGATTTTATTTAAAGGATTTCACTCATCAGAAAAATTAAAAGTCAGTCTATATTGTGTGAATACTAATTGTATAACTGACTAGTAAGTATACTGTAATCTAAAAAATAAAACATATATATATATATATTATTTTACCCGAAATGTCATTAATAAACCGCTTTCTATGTGTAGGTATTGATGTGATGTTTACAAGATTCCACTCACTACAGTGTGGTTATTTAATTCTTAAAGTACTTAATCTGATAACTGAAAACTTTCATTGACCTGGGTCCAAAATCTCAGAAACTGCATTCATAAATCTGAGTAAACCTTGATGTACCTTTAATAACAACTTCTTTGTTAATTCAGGTCTTTGTATATTACCAGGACCTGGGTTTGTTTCAGTATCACCACTATAATTCCCATCAAAATGTAGCCAGACAGTTTCCACTGAGATTGGTAATGGTTCATCTGTCACCGATTCAGGTCATGACATCACTAAAAACACAAGCATTACAATCTAAGCAAAATATTTATTCTGAGCATGCTCAGTTGCTCTCTCAGGGGTGCTGGGAGAGGTAGTTTTGGCTGAAAATCATGAAAAAGACCCACTTAGGATTTTCAGATCTGGAAAAATATTCATATGCATGCATATTCGGCAGAAACTTGTTCATCAACATGCCAAGTTTCATCGATATCTGCTGCAGAATTTCTGAAAAAACAGAAACTGGAAATAAAAATTAATAGTCCACCTTTCAGACTGCGCCTGAAACAGGGACTAAAAATGTAGGTTTACACTTGCTGTACACACAATGGAGATTTATGATAAGTTTACAGTCTGCATTATGAAAGGGTGTGTTTACGAGAATTGTACTATTGGTCATGTGACCAATCTGGATGCAAGTTTATTCCAGCAAGGATCTGTATCTTTATGATAATTTCATTTCAGTAGCATTTGGTTGGTGCCTTATTGTCCTTAGCAAACTTTTATGACTGGGCAAATGTAAGGCCATATACTTAAGTGCAAATTTTGTGTTGTAGCTTGAATTAGCTAAAAAAGCACAAAATCCAAAGATTGCAAAAAATACACATTTGAAAAGGTGAGATTTACAAGATATAACCATGGTGATAAGGTGTTAAGAACATATACAATGTAACTCGACTCGTAACGTCTATATTCAATCACCGTGGGGTTCCGTTGCATCTAACAATTATTTGACCACGTTTTAACACTAGCACACTTTGTCCTAAAAGCATGTTACTTTATTAAGGGGGGTACATGTACATGGACAATAGATTGAATCACACCAATATAGAAGCAGGTTAATCTGCACGAGTAAAACATTGAAAGACTTTATTAGCACCAAAATTATACAGATGAATTTCTGTATTCATGGTTATAATACAGGAAAAAAGTGAGATTCTGTTATACTCTAAGAAAAGTTAATGATAAGCAAAATAAATTGGTGAAGTTCAGTTATTGACAAAGTGGATATGTTGTAAATACTGTAGCTGTTGTATTTATTACAGTACACATATTGGTCATGTCAATATCATCAGACAAAACTTTGACATTAGAACAAGTGCAATTAAGTTTTGAACAAATTCTGATACAGCTTTTTTATAGAACAGTAAACTATTGTTTTTTGTATATTAATTGATAATATCAGAGGTACATTACTTGGGGTTTGCAACTATGGTGACATGATACCAAGATCCCGTTTCAATCTTGCTCTCGCATAAGCATTCCAACTCAGGAAAATGCGAATGCGCATGCCCGAGGTAACTAGGATACTGGAACGTCCAGGTGGACCAAAATAGCTGCATACGATATGACGGATTACGATAACTTTATATTCTGTACATTTTCGATGTATTACATTTTTTCACTATGAATGTGGTAATACATGTTTTATTGTTTTATTACAAACCGCCTGTGTCATGTCAGAAGGTCGTAGCACCAGTCTCGCTATCTACGAGATGAGACTTTAATGGGATCTTGACATGATGTCACCATACAGTACTATGCGCGTTGCAAACCCCAAGTAATGTACCTCTGACAATATATATATATATTCAAAATACTTTTAATAAATCTGATAGAACACCGTTTTCTGTATCAAGTATATTTGAATGATCTCCATTTGACACATCCCACAAACACTCTTATAAAAATAATTTTACCATATTTGCTCTATTAGTAGTGCATGTTCCAATGATCAAAATAAAAATGTAATATTTTAATGATTCATAGCACATCAAATGTGATTTTTGGTTTATCTGTGTTACTACAGCATATACAGTACTCTATTTCATATACTATAATGTACTAGGCAAGGTTCCAATAATTATGCTATGTTTAACCATCTAGATCAGCAAATCATTCAACTTTTCTTATCTGTAAAATCTAATGTTTCTCTGCATAGTGCTAATCAGGCAGAATAGAATCAATAATTAAATTACCGAAATTGTTTGCATTGACAATATCTTACAATGTATACATGTAGAAGCCAGTTGAGATTGCTTCATCTCCGTGACCTGCTCTGTATTACATAGTCCTTAGAAATGTATTCTAAGGTCTATGATATTACATAGAATAATAATCCCACTGTAATAATAAACAAGCAAATTGCATTAAGGTCACTACGATGTTACAGGTTATTTTTCAAATACTTTAATGGTATTACCGATAAACCACATTAATTTCACAAAAGTGCTAGATAGTGAAAAACGTAAAATTTTACTGGGCTCCACAGAGTAAACTATTTTCTTCTCAAGAATGTTATTATCAGTAACCCTTCATGTGCCAGATAATTTCACACCCAAAATTCAGTGCAAATATTATCACATTTTGTATATTTTTAGTCAATTTTTTCGTCATTTTGGAGAATACAGCAGTTTCAGATATTTCTTTAAGATTTTGATCAAAAAGTTTGTAAATTTTATTTATATTTCATGAGGGGAGGGGAGGGGAGGGGAGACTAGACCAAATCATTTTGTAGACTAGGTCAAAAGTTGACAATGACACAAAGGGTTAAAGTTACATTCCCATAGAATGATCTGCAGAAAACATCTCGCTGACCCCTGTAAGTGTCAAAGTCATGTAAACTTAAAAATGATTACAACAATGACAATTATGTTTAGTTTGGTGATTAGATATCATGACCTTTTGAAGTGCAGGCTAACTTTCAGGATTTTTGCGATAACTGATTTTATCATTTCGCAGTGAGTCCAATCATTAAATGTTGACAGTAACATTTAAATATTAGTTCTACATGTTAGACCATTTCCAGTTAACTGCGAGATCCTGGTTGTGCGTGAAATCAAACATAAAAATAGGACAAACAAAGGTCATAGCGTCGTCAAAAATATCACATGGTGACGTAGACAAAAGTGAAAGTATTTTTGGGGTGTGCTATACACATTTGATGAAGTATCTCAATGCCATATTCCCCTCAATAAGATTAACATTTCGAGCTATAATAAGATATTCGGTCAGCGTCTTAACACATTATGTGAGAATCTTGTAGTAAACAGAAAATCACCCATTACATAATGAAGCAAAACAAGTTGTGCTTTACTCTAACAAATCTTTAAGATAAGATCGTCGTTTTTTTCTCTTTCCCTCAGACTGTCCAGCAGTCTTCAATTCATTTCTTGCTAGCCTTTCATAAAAGTTTGGTAGTATTGTATCATTCCAAGATACTCCTCTTCGTCTGGCAATAAAGGAAGCCTGTTCTCCAGGATGTGGATTTCTTCCGTACCAGATTGCATGCTGTTTGCTATCAATCTCACCATTGTTATCAGTGACTATGCGAGATGCACGACTAAATGCAAATTTACCAATTGGTGAGTCCATAATCTGCGGTATGTTGGATGGTTTGTTCGTTTGCATTAAGTCATAAAAACGTTCAATCTTTCTTCTTGGTACATGCTGTAATGCTTTATTCCAGTTA